TCGCGTCTCGTCGGGACGCAACAATCGATCCCCGAATCGACGCTCTTACTCCACCAGCGGAGGTGGGAGTAAGCACCGTCGACGGGAGCCGCGGAGGTCGATTTTGCCGCCGTCCTCACAGCGGGGTAAGTCGGCTCAGATAGGTCGAATTCAGCTACGCTATTCGCGTAGCTGAATTTGTGTATCTTAAATCAAACACACACACACACACACACACCCCGTAGTGAAGACCTGCCCTTATTTAATGTGGCAAATTGTGTACCTTTTACCCTGCCAAAACATGGGGGAGAACAATGCTTGTTCCCAAAACATACTGAATAGAAATGAGGAAGAGGACCGCTACAACAGACAAGTCACTAAACATGCTGATTCACAAGCCTTTTCAATGCTAGGGAGTTTACCCATTGCTGAAAATAAGTGTCAGCAAAGGGTGCAGTTAAAGCAGTGTTGAATGCAATTTGTTTTGGTCTGCATTTGCCGTTGAACCATGTTGAACATCAGTTCAGCTGCATCTGTTTCATAAGCTAGACAAAGCTATATTCTGAGAAAGGTGGAAAGCAGAGAGAATCTTGTAATTGGATACACATCACCATTTTGGTAAAATGCAGGTCTCCAGAGGTATGCAAGAGGCCCCTGTCCTGGGTTGGTGCTTCAAACAAGTGATGGGATTTCGATTGTCTCGCGCTCAAAGTTCTTACCTGCTAAAGAACCTCTTGACTGAGTCACTATAAGAAAGGAAGAAGTGAGGGTTTTTTACCCATGAAAGCTTATGCCCAAATAAATCTGTTAGTCTTTAAGGTGCCACCGGACTCCTTGTTGTTTTTGTGGATACAGACTAACACGGCTACCTCATGATACTATAAGAGAGGAAGTCTCAAGATCTATTTTGTGAACCAAAGTCATCTTTAAACCTAGATTTTTCGTGTTTTCATTGCATGACAAATAGCTCATTCTCTCCAGTTAGTTTTAAACTAAGTTTTTAAAGCAAAGCTGTTTAGTATGTGAGGTTTGTGCATTTATAATGTGATTTCTCTGTACAGTGAAATGTATAAAAGAGCTCAGGGAAGAACTCGGATTGGAAAAAAGAATTTCAAGAAACGATGGTTCTGCCTAACAAGCAGAGAGCTCACTTATCACAAACAACGAGGTAAATCTTAATCTGTTTTTCGGCAATTAGATTTTTATTGAACACTGCTTACGTAATTGTGCTAAGAAATGGTAAATGTGTGTGTCACAGCCATTAAGTGACTTTAAACATGATCATGTTCTTATTTATTGTAATAATAACAAAACACTAATAATTTTCAATCTTTGGCTATTTCCTTTTCTGAAGTGATTTCAGAAATGTGTCTCGGTTGCATCCAATTTTGAATCCTGTTTTTTTTGTTTGTTTGTTTGTTTGTTTATCAACAAATATGTTTGCTTTT